CCTTCGCTGTCCCACTAGGCAGTGTTGCCAGCTTAGCCTATTTTAAGCTAGATCTAGCCTATTGATAATATATTGAAAATGAAACAGCCAGACTACATATGCTCTTTAAAGAACTATAGAAAATATTAATGTATGTACATAAAAAAGCATTATTATAAATACTCTTAAGCAGTGTCATGAGATTATCCAATTTAACTATGCGTGTTTGTTTGTCTATATGTATAACTGTTGGTATGTCTGTCTCTTAATCTGTCTCTCTGTCTGTCTCTTAATCTGTCTCTCCAACTGCCTGTCTAATAAGAGCAATTGGCGACAAAGAGCTACAGAAGATCATTTAAGTTGTCTATTTATATGCAGCAGTATTCATTTGGTTTTTATATTTGAGTAAAACGAAGCACAGTGCTTAGAGCAGCAGAGAGTGTTCCCATTGGCCACTTAGAGGTCGACTGCAACGAACCCTACCTGACTTCGGGCTCAACATTTGAGCGTGATTTGGTGTTAGTGTTAGTGAGTTAGTCATTCTATATAAAAGGGCAGCAGCTGCAGAATTACTTCAGTCGCCCAGGCCTGATGGGGGTCAGTCGTACAGTGCAGTAAAATGAAGTGAAGTGAATTGCGTGGAAATCGTGATCGTTTAACTAAGCACTAAAGACTTGGGAAAATGTTTAGAGGAAAGTCTTAAAAGAAACACTTAGAGGAAACACTTTGAAGAAACACTAAGAAGAAACACTTAGAGGAAGCACTTAGAGGAAACACTAGGAGGAAATTTTATAAAATAAATACTAAGAGGAAATACTGAGAAGAAACACTTAGAAGAAATACTTAGCTAAATTATTATGTTTAATTTTTTTATTTTTGCAAATAATTAGCTACATAAATTTTCAACTTTTCGTATGTTTTCTTCAATTTTTCATCTACCCCGCTTTTCCAGCATTTTTTCCATCATTTCAGCCTGTTTTGCTACTACTACATCCATACATTCTTCTACTTATCAGCCGGCAACACTGCCTCTATGTCAATGAATACATGTTGTACAAATAAAAGCTATACTATCAACAAATATTGGGTTTCAAACAAATATTATTTTACCAGTTTTTCTATAGATAAATATTTTTTTCCACTGCTGTGTTTGCTCTAGCTGGCTGCTATTTTCATTCCACTCGTTTGCCACGCCTGCCCTTAGACCAAAAAGTGAGTTTTGCGGCTTATGTATATACTATTATACTATATCTTGTGCATTGTCGTACTCATTGCTGCTTACTTGACTGAGAATCAGGTCGTGCAACATTATTTGGCGCGACTGATGAATATATATATTTTTATATATTTTACACGTAAAATTGTATTTATTAATTAATTTTTTTTCAGTATATTTAAACAAAAAACTAAAGCTTTATTTCGTAAATAACATGTCGTTATAGAGCATAAGTATTTTCCAGTATTCTAGCGTTAAGCACCCGAAATGCAAATATTTATGTATGAATTTGCTTCTTGTCAAACTTTTCTCAGTTTGCTTATTTCAGTCTTCACGGCAGTAGCTAAACAAATTTGTAAGCAAGTATGGAGAGTGCTTCCTTCACGAAAATATTTCCATAGAAAATTATTTAAGAAGAACAGACTCAACAAAGCCCGGTAATTGATAGCAAGCAATTTGTTTTAAAATGCAGCGCACACTAAGGAACTTTTAATGTAATTTAAGAAACTTTAGTTCCGCACTCACCCTAATTGATGACAATCTTATATATTGAAAACTCGGTATTTTATAGAGCATGTTCACGGGCACGGCATCTATCAAAAAAGTTTAGAAAAACATATTTTACGCTCTCAGCTGGTAAAGTTTCTAATAGCAGATAACTACTATACCTTAATCTCACAAAAATCATCGGGATAATCACCAAAATTATGTGAGGCATAAATAAATTGCTTGCTGGTTCGAGTTGTGCATTCAGCTAGATAATTCGGCTCGCACATGGGTAATTGAATGAAAGCTTTTTCTTCTCTCCCACAGAGTCGCAGGAAAGTTCTTAATTATTTCAGCATCGCCGCAGCTCGCATTTTCACTTTACTATTTAATGTGCGGCACGGCCTGGCGGTCCAAAAATAATGATGGTTCCATGGCTCTGTGTCCTGCAGCCATATAAGCCATTTGGCAACAATCAAACAAAAGGTGCGCAGCTGCCAGCTGGCTGTAATAAAGTCGCTGCTGCTTACCTGGCCCACTCATTAAGAGGCCAGCATGCCAGTGCCCAACCACATGGCAACCACGCAACCACATGAGCAGCCGCGTTTATAAAAACTGTCACACGGGGATGGGGTGACGGACTTAAAGTTGCAATGTCATCACTAAAGCTGTCGCCCACCTGCCGGCTGATAAGGCGCTATGCGAAATGGAATGCACAGAGCTGTAGGCTGGGTCGCTTTTCAAGTTAAGCCATCACAGTACTGTCAGAGCAAGTGCATTAAATGTTTGAATGACGACCCCAGGCATCTACTTATATACATATGTATGTATGTGTATGGAGCAGCTGCCATAGGCAGTGGCTGGAGTCGAGTATTGTACGGCCACTTGGGCCGCGGTCTGTCATCAGGTGGAGACCAGGCTGCCACCGATAACACTTGACAGTCCGTGCAACATATCCAATCAAAATTTCATTGCCACAGCGCCTAACCAAATTATTAATTATCGCAGCCCTGCGGTGACTGCGAATTTCAGTGTTTATGCTTTAATGAATATAATTCAAGCTCAACCATATTTGAACAAGGCGTCAGGATAATTTCAAACTAAAATAATGTTTACACAATCATTATGAGCCTTTGCGATTTTTTGTTTGGCGTTAATGTGATACAAATTATCCCAAATGTTGTACAAAAATTTACTAAATAAATTAAAGTCCATAATTTAAATATCAAATGCAGTTCAAGCATTCTTTGATGATCTTATGCGAGCGACTAATACTTTAATTAACCAAAATTTACTGCTATTAAATCATGAAAATAAATAATTTAAATAATCTGAAATAATTTTAATAAATCTGTTTTAATCATAATATTATAAGTTTATTTATTTATTTATTTATTTTTTATTCTGTAGGATTTTTTCAGCTTTGAATTTAGTAGACATTGTATGCTATTCGATCAATTTTAAAAATTACATAAAATAGGCAGAATTCTACTTTTCGTTGCTATGAAAATTATCATAATATTTTATCATACATAATTTCGCATAATAGAATTTATAGTATATATACGATATACAAAGGCAATTCGAATATTTAAACTTCAATATGTAAGAAACGCTTTGTATGCCTCGATATACTTCAGCAGAAATCCTATTTAAATTCTTTAGCCCTGCACTCTTTGCAGCAGTTCTTTAAGAAGAGCATTTGTAATAGTTTCCTTAGGAGATTCATACAGACCGAAAGTGATGTGTGTGTGTGCCTGTTTGATTTATATTAAGGGACCATTGTCATTCCAGAGCTGTGTGCTGGGTGTGTAACTATTTTCAGGATATGCTCAGATATACGCTCTTTTGCAGCTGGCTGTATGAAAAAGGGAACAAAATGCAAGCCATTTATTTTCATTTTGGCAACGCAAAAATTTTGCATTCCACCAAGCGCCAAATTGCAAATAGCGGTTAGGTTGAATGTGTGCGTGTGTGGGTGGGTGTATGAGTGAGTGTTTGCCTATGTGTATTACTGTATGGCTGTTGATGTTGCGGCGGTTGCTGCATAACTCCACACCCGAACCACCCTAAAAACTGCCTTTGTTGCGGTTGATTGAGCAAATCACTTGCATGCAGAATGTGCTTTTTGGCTGCAGTCCTGCGGCTGCAGTCCAATGTCACCCGCATGACACGCCCTGAAATAGTTTGAAAAAAATATATATGTTATGACAAAAAAATTGTGTAATATTTTGGCTGCATGCGAAAGCTGAAATTGCTGTGACAAACTTTAAGCATAATTTAAGTTAACTAAATAGAAAGGGGACAAGCGCAGCTGAGGGGCTGCACCGACGGCAGCGGCTCCAAAATTTGCATAAATCTTCAACGTGGTGCATTTTTAATTAAGCCTTTGTGCTGCTAGTCGCCAATTGTGCTGTCAAGGATATGTGAGCTCATTATCAGGCTGCTGCCCCTGGCAACGGCCGGCTAGCGACTAGAGACTAGCGACTAGCAACTGGGGGCTAACGAATGGCTAAAGCTGACAGTTGCCACTAGTGATATACAAAAGCCAAACCGTTCACATCGCACATCTGCAATCTGCAGCGATGACGCGGTCCATTGAGTCCATTGAGTGCTGATGTCAGTCCGTCATGCGGCGACTATTGACAGCGGCAAACAACACACACCAACATATTTAAAGCGAAGAATTGGCAGTCTATTAAAGCAGCTCAACATCAAATACCCTCGCTGGCAAACTCTTTGAAAAATATATTGATGAAAAAAAAAAGACAACTCGAGTTGAATAAATTGAAATGCAGATGAATTTCATTATTTGCTTTTAGTTTCGTATCATATTTGAGTATCGTAATTGACTGGCACAATGGGGCTAATAACTAAAATACCCTTACGCCAGTGTGCATCTGTGCAAATATAGGTTTCCATTGCATTGATATTTGCGTTCGGGATGCGTAATTAAGCAATACTGTGAACAGTCTGTGGCTTCTGCAATAAATCGTGTCAGAGGCAATTTGCAAGCGCCTATTTGCAATTAATTAAAAATAGCTCTATAGGGGAATGTAAATGTTCAAATAATATACACCATAGATTTAGATACAGATCACAGTAATACATGTACTTATATATATATATTTGTTTTCTTCTTCTTTTTTTTTCGTTGCAACAGTAACTATTGAAAGTACAGCAACAAAGGCATAAGCTTAACGAGTTGTTGTTGTGAAGCACGCCACACAGCTTTAGAATGAAATGGAGATGCAAGGTGAGGCTGGTCATGGACCAACAACAGCAGCAGCAGGAGCAGCAGCAGCAGCAGCATCAGCAGCAGCAGCGACACCGACACCTGAAGCGCCAAGAGGCGAAACAACCGCTACGACAACATTCGCATCGCAGTCACGCGATTTCAGCTGTCGTGTGGCTCAAACGGCACAGTCCGAAGCCTGGCAGCCGTTTATTAGCTGCGAGGCGGCCCACGCCGACAGCAACGATTCCTACAACAGCAGCAGCAACATCACCAGCATCACCAGCAACAGCACCAGCAACAGCAGCATCAGCAGTAGCACAACATTCCATTGCACATTGCAGGGCTTCGATAGGGACGAGGATAACGTGCTGTATGCGTGCAGTGCTGTGCTCGAGGAGTCCGAGGCAGAGGCGGCCGTATTAGGGCCATGCATGCTAGACACGCAACTATCGAAGCCGCCGCACGAGCCGTACGCGCAATTCGAACTGGAAATCAATGGGACCGTTAGTGATAATGTGAGTGATACGTTTAGTTTTAGTAGCAATTGCAATCGACAGTTGTTTCTATGTGAGTCCATGGACGAGGAGCTGCTGTGTCAGCTGCAGCTCGAGCAGGAAACTGTGCGCCCCACCACGGCGCAAACAGCGACCAGCTGGCTGAACTTTCGCATCGACCTGGGCGATAGCCTGTGGTCCTGGCTGAACTTCAGCGAAATGGTTGAGAATGTCAGCGGGGGCCACGGCAACGACAGCGCCAACAATTCAACTACGAGCTTGGACATGATACTGTCCAACTACACCATATCCGACACAACAATGAGCACAACAACAACGGCGGCAGCCGACATTGTCATATCGAGGAGCTTCCTGGACTACTCCCCACACGGCTACGACTGGCTGTTCTTATTCGTCGTCTTCTTCATATTTGCCGGCGGTCTGGGCAATATACTTGTCTGTCTGGCCGTCGCCCTGGATCGGAAGCTGCAAAATGTCACCAACTATTTCCTCTTCTCGCTGGCCATAGCCGATCTGCTCGTCAGCCTGTTTGTTATGCCCATGGGCGCGATTCCAGCATTTTTAGGTAAGTGTTTAACGTTGTTCACGAACTTTAATAAACGCAACAGCCATGAATCGAGCGAAAGTTTTGCAAACTCTTTTGAAGTGCTCAAAGCGAAACTCAAGATATTTGAGATATTCAAAAAGTAACTTTAAGGTCGTGCAGCATAGGAATAATTTGACTCAAAGTCTCGTCTGCTCAAAGAAACTTGAAGAAGTATAAGCAAGAGTGCAATATAAACATATATTCGCTTGATATAAATTAGTTTTTCTTTTTTTTTTTTTTAATAATATAAAGAACTCTATATTAGTAGTCTTTTTTTGTCTTTTATATGAATAAAATTTAAATAAATTCGATTATTAAAGATTAGTAAAGAATATTGCTTAGGTTATGGAGCTATATATATTAATTTTAAAATAAACAAATCTGAAAGTCTGATTGTTAGTTACTAAAATATGCCAATATTTGGTACCGTTCCAATCAATAATTTTTTTTCATTTTTGTGCAATTACAAATCACATTTCCTATTGAACTTTAAGCTAATAAAAATTTATTGAAAATTTCTTTTAGTCGCTCTAAGAATAAATGGATTTTTTTAAATAAAATTCATGTTCATTCACCAAATACTTTTCATGATTTATTTCGAGCTGATGTTTGTTTTATAAATATTCGTTTTATTTATTTTGTTTATGCGATATTTGTTATTATTCGTTGAGAGCTTGAATAAATGCATTGATGAGTCTCTTTATGGCAAAAACCCAGAGTAATTAAAGTCAATTCATATTTCTGTATTTTGAATGGAATTTGAGTACACTTTGAAAATAGTTATCAGCGGTAGCGCTTCAATTTTCCAACTCTAATAAAGCCTGACACATTGCCACTGAATATGCAAATGATTTATGTAATCTGATAATATTTGAGTTAATGCGCAACTAATTTACATGTGCCACAGATAACAAATGTCTGGCTGATGCCGTGCAACTGAGTTCAACGTAGCATGAACAGATCAAAGGCGTAATGGGCGCACATGGTGCCAACGGCGCCATAGACAAAACCTCATACCCAGCTGCCACCACAGACCAGACGCCACATCATATAAGCATATATTTAGTGGACTGCACTCAACCATCGACGAGAACCAAATAACATTAGCGAATTTAATTTCAGTATAAGCGCATTTGTTGTTCCGACCACCAGCTGTAATTTAATGCAGTCGCTACGTTTCAGTGGGGTGTGAATAATTTTGTGAATTTGTGTTTTAGGCACTGTTTACAAACGTTAACTAACGGGCTGAAATCATTTCAAATGAGACTATCTAAGCAGATAGACAAGAATCCAGAAAAGACAACTCTATATCTTAATCAAGGATAGACAACTCAACAAATCATAATTCAGGCTTGTAATTTTGAAGAGATTTTCATTGGATTATGGGCAATCAATGCTTCCAAAAAACATTTTAAAAACAAATAATATATAAGTCACTCATATGAATGTCTAGAGTGTCAAATAGCATTAAGCTAAAAGCTTTTAGGTTTTACTATGACCCAATATACGTAAACTGAAATTCGATTTACTCCCGATAGGTTAAACTATCGCCTTCAAGTAGAACTGTTTGAATTCGGCTTTGAACTTTGCAGAGAGCGATTCGTTAGATGATTTAAAGTTAACTTTTTTGTAATGTAAGCTGATTGACGTGCGTACAGAGCTTTATAGACGGTAGGACGGTAGGTATTTAAGTAACATTTGGATCGACATAGTCTCGCTTTCGGCTCGTTTGCTTTTACACTTTAAGCGCTTCTTCTCGAGTTCTAGCTATTCTGTGGCATATTTTCCTCAATTACACGCTGCGTGTTTGGCGCTTTAATTTGTGGCATTATTTACTTTAGTGTTTGTTTACTTTCGGTTGGCACTGTGGCCCTGCCACGTCTTGCGCCATTCAACAGCTTTCCACAGCTGCTGCACTTGCGAATTACCCATTGTGGCACTCGCGTTTGAGACGGCTCCTCAGCTGATGCGTCGCGTCGCCTGCTCCTGCTCTTGCTCCTGCTGCAGCAAAGGGCAAGGTCTTTGTTTTCGCGCTCAAGTTGTTTGTTGACGACGACGACAGCRAACGCAAAACTAAATGTTGCCAACAGCCTTAAATGTTGTTTCAGCCCGCAACTGCCGCCGGGCCAACAATTACGCTACAAACTGCATCAAGCAATGTTTGCATGGCAGTTTAAGTTTAAGCTAAATTTTATCACTGGCGATACTAAAAAGATTTTTATTTTATGTCAGCTTCGCTAAATACAAAAGCAGCTGCCTCGCTGGTAAAATATTAAATCAGCTTATAAAAAAAGTATAAAAAAATGCATATGAATAAAAGTCTGCTGCCATTGAGCTCATCGATGGTTATTCGCATATGCCCTTGGCAGATGCAGTCAGGCTGCAGCGCAACTTTCACAAAAGCCAATCACAACTTTACAAGCCAAGCTGTTTGATGTCATGCTTATGCATGGCATACACATCTATATACATACACATACATATACATATGCACATTGCAGTCGGAAGTTTCGTTAAAATTAAAGCGCTCAATTTTTAAGAGGCAAGCCTGTAAAATAGCTTTATTGAAGATATATTAATATAAAATATGTACATATATGGAAATATTTTTTGATGTCCCCTTAAAGCAGCTCTTTTGCAGGCAACCCGCGTTTACTTTAAAGATAAATCTCGAAACCTAAAAGGAATTCTGTGGACGTAAACATTATAGCTAAAAATGCGCTAGTGTTGCATAACAAAAGAAAATTCAGAGTAAACTCAGATATTCGTACAATTAACTAAAGCTTCCGAGAGCTGTGCTACACTTACATACATACTTATTTCAGACACTTGAGTCGCAGCTCCGGACAACATGTCGCATACGTAATAAATACATTTTCAGCACTTGATGCTTTTCATATATGTATGACCATGAGTGACTGTCTGTGTCTGTGTGTGTGTGTATGTGTATGTGTGTGCTTAAGTGACAGGCATATAAAAACTAAATACGACATGTGGGTCCGGATCCGCTCCCTCATCGTCGCTTCGCTCTGGTGTGTTCGAGTGTGTGTTAAGAGTGCTGAGTGGCTGTCTCTCTGCTCGCCTGTGTCATGCTGTATGTGTGTATATGTGGTAGTGTCCTACAATTAGCAAGCTGAAACCCACGCAGCGCGCCTAATGGCATGTACGGAGAAGATGAAAAAAACAACACATTTGAGCGCAATTTGTACTAATTAATGTAGAGTTTGCCATTGGGCATTGGCTAAATACAAAGCTGAAAACGAACGGCACAAATTTCATAGCAAACGAGTGGGAAAATGAGCATACAAATTCAGGTTGCATCTCTTACAGCCTACCTGAATGCGACTTTAAGCTTTTAATTCACATTTAAGTCACACGGCATTAATCCGACTGTCAACAAGTTAGCATTACAGATACAGATACAGATACAGATACAGATACAGATACAGATACAGATACAGATACAGATACAGATACAGATACAGATACAGATACAGATACAGATACAGATACAGATACAGATACAGATACAGACCCAGACACAGATACACTCAGGTACAATCAGCTCGCAGAAATTTCTTTTCATTTAAAATCCTTTGGCTTTGCTTTATTTTCCTTTCCCTTTCTTTCATTTAGTCTTCACTTCATTCCAATTTCAATTAACTCTGATTTGCATGCGCTTTCATTAACAGTCGACGGAAAAATCCCCGTCACATCTATCTGTCCCATTTGGGTGGTTTGTTATCCTTTGTCGTTCCTTGCAGGCTACTGGCCACTCGGCTTCACGTGGTGCAACGTGTACGTTACCTGCGATGTGCTCGCCTGCTCCTCGAGCATACTGCACATGTGCTTCATCAGTCTAGGCAGGTATATGGGCATCCGCAACCCACTGGGCTCGCGACATCATTCCACGAAGCGCCTGGCTGGCATTAAAATAGCCATTGTCTGGGCCATGGCCATGCTGGTGTCCAGCTCAATAACGGTGCTGGGTAAGGTTCTGATTCTCAGACTGTCGGACTCTCAGTGGTCTGCATAATATATGGAGCTTTAATGAGTGCCAATTCCTGTGGATTCCAGGTCTGGTCAACGAGAAGAACATAATGCCCCACCCGAATGTGTGTGTGATTAACAATCGAGCCTTCTTTGTGTTCGGCTCGCTGGTGGCGTTCTACATACCAATGCTGATGATGGTCTCGACATACGCACTCACCATTCCACTGCTGCGCAAGAAGGCCCGCTTCGCCGCCGAGCATCCGGAGAGCGAACTCTTCCGTCGGTAAGTGGATTGAAAACTTTGATATTCGCTCTCGCGCTGCAGCAGTGCACAGCACACAAGTAAATGCAATTAGTCTGCACGATTGGCTTCAGGGCGCAGATTTGTGCCACCTTTGACCGGACACTAATAGGCAATGGCCAGCGGTCAGCAGTTGCAATTGGATTTATCTGTCAATCGATACCAATAAATTATTTGCAAATGAAAATGCTTTTAAACGAGATTCTAGACGCCGAGCAACTGTCACGGCTAGTTACCACACGTGGGATGAAAAGCAGCGGGGCCTATGCGGCGTATGAGTAATTGAATCTAAAACTTAATTCACACCGCTGTGCTGTGTAGGGGTTTTGATTTCGCCAACGTCGCCCGGGCGAGAGATGAGTGGTGGGTGGAGGCCACAGAGCCACCAAAGAATTTTCAATAAATATTCATTTGCACTCGCACAAAAATCAATTAAGCCAAGACGTAAATGCCAGCTGAAGCAGAACAATTAGTGTTTGGTTAATGTGCCGTCACGGTAGCGATTTGAAATGTGATTTATTTTTGTGTCTATTGGGGCTGAAGATTTTAATTTACAGCTCTTCAAATAATATTGCTGTTGCAGTTATATTATATCTAGCATCGAATGTAAGCCCTCTACAAATGAATAATTATATTATATTATTATACTTTATTTTCTATTATGGCAATTATGTTATTAAATATCACAAGTCAATCTATATCTAAATGAAAAGCGTCTTTCATGAGGAGCCTGACACATTTTATGATTAACTAATGCATTTGCTCTCTGACTGCCAATCAAAGCAACGTGAAAGCAAATTAGCTCTGAGTCAATAGGAGGGAAGCAGCGCAATCAAGCCATAGAATACACATCAGCTCCATTCCTCTTTTGCATCTAACTCACTCTATTGGAATAGGTTGGGCGGGCGCTTCACCATACGCCCACAGCACGGCCAGCAACAGATGCAGATGCACGGCAGTCTCACCAGGAGCACTTACAGCAACAACAAGTGTCTGGCAATGGGTGGCAGCAGTCGCAATGTTAACAATGCAGAGACCGGAATGGGTATGGGCGTGGCGTCAAGGACAAGGTGCACCAGTGCAGGCGGAGGTGGCAGCAATATTGACTGCACCGAGCGACCATTGATGCATCAGCGAGCCACATCCAATCGAAGTGTCCCCAGCGTCAGCTTTCGCAACGTGGCCAATGGAGGCGGCTGCGACGGCGACAGCAGCAACAGCAACAGCGGTAATCTGAATAATACAGGACGGACTAACTTCCGACTTGCTGGCAGTGGCATCTTGCGGCAATCGTCCACCCCACCGACAACGATCTCGTCCACATCTTTCTCGACGCGTGGCAAGGCACCGACCAGTAGCTTCTGGCGGAAGCGTGCTGCTGCCGGCAGTCCCTATCTCCTGGACAGGTGAGTGGCCCACTCAAAACTTTCATTAGCTGCAATGTTAGCCAATCTGCATTCAAATGACGCAAAACGGCCTCAAATTGCAACTGGCTTAATTAAATTGTCAGTTGTGAAAAGTAAATTGTGTGCCTGGTCCAGCTTGGGATATTTGCAATTAGTCAACCGAGGCAGAGCCTAACCATTAATTTATGAGCCCTCAATTTTCGAAGGGCTTTGTGTGACAGGAACTTTCTCTAAATGAACTGAAGGCTAACTCTGTTTGCAAAGGATTTGGAGTATTAGGTAGCCTTAGCAGGTAGTCCATGAAATTGATGTCATACTGTACTTGATTGCTCATTAAGAGAGATGGCTATCGTGGCATTTGCCCAGCCAATGACTAAACCTAACCCACAACATGACCCGTGACATTTGTACCTGTTCCTGTAAGTCTCACCTTTTGGCAAATTGTGTCGAAATCACGCTGTTGAGGAACGTCGAGCTGAGCTGGGACTCTGCAGACATTTATTATCAGTTGAGCATACAAGCTTTTAAATTTATTACATTTGTTTACACGGCCAGCAAACAACTTTTCAGACTACTTTTCTAAGAAATTTGCATAATTTACATTGTAAGTGCAAAGCGTTTTGGCTTTGCTTTGCTTTGTTTTGCCTTGCTCCGCTTCAGGTTCGAGCTGGATGCGAGGCTGAGACAAATAACAAAAACAAATTGAGTTTTATTTGGCTTTGCCTTCCGACTCAACACCCCTCCGCCTCTTACCAAATAGTTGCCTTTTTCCTGCAAATACATTGTCAATGCTCTGCGCAGTAGGGTATTCAAATTTTGACATGAGTCAAGTAACACATGAGTTATATACATTCTTGATAAACGTCAAAATTTTACTTGATGTCCATTACTATGAAAGCCAATCCACAAAAACTCATAACAAGACTTTTAATAGCTTCGCATATATTCTGCTCGAGATTTATTTACTAGACAAATGGAAAAGGGTATGTAAGAAGAGTATTTAGGCCTCGACGCGTCCCAGTTTTAGCAATTCATGAATTTTTTATTTCGGCTTTTTTATCGGCAACAAGTTTTGGGCAAATCGCGTCTGAAAGGATTTTCATTTGTTTACTTTCGGTACACATCAAGTAAACATGGACTTCAAATGCTTTAAAGGGGGCTCGACTTTTGAACAAAATAACATCTAATCAACTCCTTTGGAATGCAAACTAATTTTGAAAACCTTTCCTACTGAGGGCATGCTCTCTACATTGTTGATTCTGAAATTAATTTACTTCTTCTGCACCAATCAAATTTAACTAAATTATATATATGCGTATATAAAATAAATATATTTAAAGATAGTGCTAGCATATATATATTATTTTCACACACAAATTTTATTACATGATTTATGTTATATATTAACTATAAATATATTTGTTCAATAATTCATTTTTGAAACAGAGACAGATAAATATTTTCGAATTCGAAACATATGCTCAATTTATTTATAGAGCTTTATAGCCATTCATGAATTTTTATTTGGTCGTTTTTTATCCGCAACAAGTTTTGGGCGAACCTAATAACATCCAATCAATAATAGTGTTCAAGTATATACACATATACCCAAAAATTTGTATTTCATGATTTACGATATATATTAACTATAAATATAACTGATTAATAATTTGTGCTCAAGACTTTCGCATTTTAGTATGATTTGCTTAATTTATTTATATATTATTTATTCCGTCCATTCCCCTTAGCTGCTTGGATGCAACATAGCAATCAATTACGCATCTTTTTGCAATTAAATGCATATTCAAGTGTCACACAACATGGCGGATACATAATTTCCTTGCAAGCACTTGCAACGAGCCATAAACATAAATCACTCATGCGTCATGTGGTGCAGCACCAAAAACACAAAAACACGAATCTGCTTGTCGGTCGGCGGGCCACTTGCCACATTGTTGTGTGATGGAGAAAAGGAGATGTCGCTGCTGCTCCTTCTTCTTGATGCTGCTGCTGCGGCAACAATAAATAGCGCATAAAATGGCAGGAGAAACCGCAAAGAGGACAACCTCAGCCACAGTCACAGTCACAGTTACAGTCGCAGCCACAGCACGAGATGACGGTGGTGCAACTTCTCAAACGTCGCTGGCGACTATGTTGCCCTCGGATAGCTGCAAAAGGTTCTTGCCCCCTCCCCGCATCCACAATGGCACTGAAATTTGCAAATGTCATTGCTATTTGCTGCAGCATTCGCTGCTGTTGTTTTCATTTCTTTTCTTGTTTTTTTTTTTCTGCATAAATGCAAAGGCGCGAAATTTGCAAAATTTTAGCATAACCAGCAGAGAAAAGCTGCAGCAAGTTAGAGCTACGCCGTGACTTAAGCACGTCCCAAAAATGAAGCAAACAAAAGTGCGAATATACGGCCAACTAATTCTCTCACAGACGAATAAGACTCACATACCAATGCGATATTGTAGCCAGAAAGGTGAAAAGATATGATCTGGCAAACTTAACTGCTGCCTATAATATAAGTAAATATTTATTTATTCATAATATAATTAAATAGTAATCATGTAAAAAATTAGTAAATTCAGTAGAGAAAACAATGAAGCATTTCTATTAAGTAAAGTCTCCTCTCAAACGTTACATATTTGCAGACAGAACTTATATCCCCTTAAAATGCAGAGTACTGCGCGTAATGCCAGCTCAGTAAAATGTCACGTATATGCGCTTTGCAACGGATTTGTGTTGCGCAAGTTGACGAATAAATATATATGAATTTCTAATGAGGCAGGCCCAAAAAGTTACCTGGCAGCTACCCAGGTAGCACAACAAACGTGCGAAAGAAACTTTGTTATTTTCCATTTACTTGCAAATTATTAGTTGGACATTTGACGCCGCTTGGGCGCCCATTCAGACCTGCTGCTTGTCGCCGGGCAAAAAATTGAAAAACTTTTTATTTTATTTGCCGTACTGCAACAGACGCAAAGTGCTTCCGAATATTTGCCAACTGCCAAACTGGCCAAAAATGTGGCTGCCTGGGGAACAAGATGGCTACACAAGCTGCACAACAAGTTGGCAATGAATTTGGGGCCAACTGAAAATGGTATGCCATGGTCAACTCTTAATATTTCACATAACTTCTACATTGTTGTTTGGAGCACTTAGCTAAAATATCATTAAACTCATCTGCATACAAGAAAGTTTCTCTTTTGGAAATTTCTTGAATCTGAGCGGAAATGAATGAATCAAATCTCTCTTCTACAAGATGAAAAAGTGGGTCATCACTTTAAATTCATTTTGTATAAATCTGAAGGCCAAGCTAACTGAGAATTTCAGACCCGATTAAGATGTGTCGAGCCGATTCTCAATATTTCATTTCTTATAACTAGGCCTGTTGACAGTGACAAGTGAAATGGATGATTCTTATTATAGCTCACAAAAAGAGTGTCTCAATTTAAATTAAATTAAATCTCTTCAAATCTGTATTTAACTGAAGTCATTCGAGTTGCTCCATAGAGCGATGACTTATGGTCGTGGAACTGGATCGTAATTCACTGGAGCTTACGTCATATCCCTCTACTTGATTGGTTTTCTGATGATAAATAAAGACATATGCATTCTATCTATGCTTTCGATATATAGGAATTATCCATGATGGCATATGAACAATTCTGTCTCTATCTCTTTTTAGGTACAGCCAGTAGTGCCCTCTGCCCTGCTTCTAGTTATCTATATTATTTATGTCAGTGTCTTTGTTATCTCTACATACTCTTTAATCATCTTTCAGCTGTAATTGAATTTGGCTGTACACTTAAATCCCCTTTAATAGTCGTTAAAGCCTAAATTTGAGAAACTCCTTAGATTTCAAGCAGCAACAATTTGGCCCATTTCTTATATGCGAAATTGGGAGCTGGCCTAATTCATTTAGTTGAAGTAAATGAGTTCACATTGAAGTCTGGCTAAAGAATCAGATTCCTGCATCAACTAAGCCCCTGAAATGCCTGCCGAGATTTTATTAAAATACAATTTTATAAACTGTTGCGCGCTGCGTTGGCGTGCAAAGGGCCAAAATCTAATATCAAACACTCGTTGCTGCAAGGCAGCGCGGAAATACTATTTAAATACGTCAAGTGGCTTTTACTTACCAAACCCAAACCCCAAACCATTTGACAGTCATCCGAATCGACGGGCCTCGTTGCGCGGCAGCGTCTCGCAGCCACAATTGGGTTACGCGACAAATGGAAATGGAGGACAGGAACCAGGTGGCGGAGCCAACGTGCCTGGCGGAGCAACAGTTGGGGCAAGCAGCTGCATAAGTGCTGGAAGCGCTGGCGACGGTGGCCCAAGCAGAAAGAACTTAACCACCATTCAGACACACTGTGGAGGCGGTGGCGGTGGCACTGGCAATAGCTGTGGCAACGGTAATGAGAATCAGCAGCAGGTGACGACAACGCGACGCCACAAGCTGCTCCCCTTCAAGCTGTCATTCAATCGAGTTGCCACGCCTGCGCTGAACTTGAGGTGAGTGCGGGTTGTCCAAATAATTCAATTCCCAAAGTGGTTTTCTGCTCCCTCCAGATTTCTCAACAATCGCGCCAAGCGCAACAGCCTCTCGGCAAATGCGGTGGCCACGGAGCAGAAGGCCACCAAGGTCCTGGGCCTGGTCTTCTTCACCTTCGTCCTGTGCTGGTCGCCGTTCTTCATACTGAACATCATATTTGCCGCCTGCCCTGAATGCCAAGTGCCCGAGCATGTGGTCAACACCTGCCTCTGGCTGGGCTACGTTTCCTCGACGATCAACCCGATCATTTACACCATCTTCAATCGGACATTTCGAGCGGCTTTCATCCGCCTGCTCAAATGCAACTGCGAACGGTAAGCGATAGGGCGTCAAAAATTGCGTAATCTATCTCTTTTCATTTGTTATGTGGGCAATGCAATTTATTGGGGTGCGATTCACTACCCTCTCAATAAAAAAAAAAAAACAATGCAATGCATTGTTCATTGTTCAAGCAATTGTGGTGCAACGTGACGTATGATTGATTTTCGCCAACAAGTTTTTGCGAATGAAATGAAACTACGAATGTGCGAAACAAAGTAGAGATTAGTCTTGCACTGTCAGGAAATTGAGGGAAATTACAAATGAAATGGAAAATGTATGTTACGTAAAAAAATATCAAAATTAAAGTAAAGCAGCAAAACTCCTTTCACAAAGTATTTGATCAAATTCCCTTTAAGTTTTGCCTTTTCAATTTCAATTATGCTCAGCAAGCTTCAAAGGCAATTATAGTTCTGAAGCCTAGCGGTAAATAAACCAACTGAAGTTTTCATATATAGCCTGCTAGAAATAAGAAGCTACCGACATTCATATTACTGCTGTTGCCTGACGTTTAATATATAACTTTTGTTTACTTATTTTTTAATTTACCGCTATCTTGACCCTTTTGTGCATTTATGCACTTCAGAAACTGGAAATACTGTTTACATTTACTGATAATATGTCTCATAAACAGAGCAGAAATTTTATGTCCGGCATACGGGCGCTAATTTGACAACTTTTGTAGATGCTTAACGAAAGAGATCGAAGTAAAAATAAATTACGGGACAAACTTGTTAACGACGCGTCGTTTCAACTTTCACAAGACAGGCGAAACATTTTTGCAAGAAAAAGTTAGGACTGATTAACTAACTTTAAAGGTATGCCATTGAAAAAGCATGCAATATGCACTATTAGGGAATGCCTAACGCGTTTATACCCTACATTCATATATTTGTGGAAGTTGAAGCTCACATAAATTTGTTTAAATATATTTTTATGGCCAAGCAGAAGAGAAAAATCTTTTAGATGTAGGTTTGTATATGTATGTATGTTTGAAGAGCAGATCTATACCATTTTTCATTCCAAGTTTGGCTTAATATAAATAGATTAGAAATATGTATAGATTAGAATGTAGCTTCTCTTCGAGTTTTCTCTTCACAAGGATAATATCAATTCAGAATATTGAAATTTGTTTACTGTCAATAATTATTATACTTATAAGAAAGGGCAAATATACTAGCGAAGACCGTTTTAGCAATTGCAAAGCTTTTGTTTTTAAAGTATCCGAAAGCTACGCTTCAACTCAGAAAGAGAAACTGAGCAGCAGATATAGGTATATAAGTAAAATTTGTTGCTCTGATAAATTTGTATATTCGTTAACTGGTATAACTATGTATATGTGGGCTCGCATGTGACAGTCTATATATACCCACTCAGACATTTTCAGGGTATGACAAGTCTTGGCCATGAATTGAATAAATGAAAAATCTGCATATTTGCAAACCAATATAAGTTTTGCCCAAGTGTTTACATGAACTTGGTAGATAATGAAATGGGGAAAAAAATGTTCATATTTTGCACTTCGCATTCACGTTTTATTGCAGCTCGGGCCGCCCGCTACGCTATCGCTCCGTGACCGAAGGGCGCAGCGCCTTGAGTCTGTGCGCCCCCTCAGCCCTGCCGCTGGCCATCTCGTTTCAGGGCGCACCACTAATGACGCCATCCACGACGAATGCGACGCCGCTGAGTGAGTTCCGGAGCAGTTATACAATCAACGAAGACGAGCGCTAAGCAGAGCGTTTGGTCACTTGCGTTCAGAGAGTCAAACTCGAATTTACGGGCTATGTTGTTATGAAAGTACAGGTAAACGAGGCAAACTACCGACGAATGGTCGATGGGACGAATTGGCGATGAATCGAATAGTCAGACACACTTCAACATGTACTTTAAGCTGAAAGCCAAATGAAAGTCAAGATAATATTACAGGGTGACCCATTCCAAATCAAGAGAGTGCAAATCAAACTATAAAAGCCGCCATGAATTGATAGCCGAATACAACCATTTAATAGCAAACACATAGTCTAATGCTTTCTACAGGGTGACTCCTTCAAAAGCAAACCCTATGATGACAAACTTTTTACTGTGGCAACACAAATCACAACTTGAAAGAGACAAGATGAAATCAAATCAAAGAATACAGCGAGAAATTGAAACAGAAAATGAAATTGGCGACTCATTGATAATATGGTCAACTGTACCCATACCAAAATAACATTTGAAAAGGATCAAAATTAAATCCATTCATAACATATCGAGATTAAGAACGTGAAATGTAGGATGTTTCATTTTAAATCAAATCAAATATGGAAGCAAATTACACCGAAACAAAAAATCAAAATGATGACTCATTCAAAATCGAACTTATTATTGCAAAGCCGTGAAATACAGGGTGTTTCATTCAAAATACAAATGAAGTGCAAAAACAAATAAAAATATTCTACCTGACAAATTATTAAAAGAGCTAAACGGAACCGCGTAAATCAAATTGAATGTATTAGCTGAACAGGGCAAATGCTATTTGAAATAGGTAAAGACCGCATAAATGCATTTAGTATGCCAAATCAGGAATAATAGATGAAATTTTCTAAATATAGGTGTGTCTAATTATAAAATAAACTGAATGTCAAAGATAATCCTAAAGAACGATAGAATTGAGCAACAGCAGATGGAGTCCACACACACTATTCCAAGTTTACTTTATGCATACAATCAAATACAATAAACTACAGGGAGATTCCTTCAAACTAGCAAAAATACATGTCGGATAATTAGGAGTCTGCAGCCAGACGAAAGCAACAGCCAAACTCTGGAAAACTGAAAAAGATACTTCTCAAAATAGTCGAAAGCTGCTTCATTCATACCCAATGAAGTCAAATGAACTTTTCCCATCAAAAACCCAAAACAATACCGAGCTAACACAGTTGGTAACTTATATTGAGTGTACTGACTGTACCAAACATAAACTACAAGTAACATATGAAACTTAGAAAAGTCACTATCAATAACCGGATGAATGTTTTACTCTAACTAAAATATATGAAATACGAGTTGAGTTACTCAAAATAGATGTGTCTCAATGTCTAAATTAGAATGAGGACCTCAATATCAAAAAGAATGACAGCAGACAGTAACCATAGAAAAAAATCCAAGCATAAAATAGAATACAAATACAAATAAGAAAATACCCTAACTTCTCATTTTCAATGGGTTCAGGGTATACGAAACTACAGGGAGATTCATTTAAGACAAAACCAAACATAGTTGACGCTTAAGGATAAATGTGGCAACTGTACCCACAAAGAACAGAGCTAAGAATGGCACACAATGGATTCCATTCATAGCAAAGCGAACTTAATGTGCACCGTGAAATACAGGGTGTTTAATTTTAACTCAAATCAAGTATATAAACCAGAAGAAGACAGTATAAATAACCGAAATGTATTGCAGAAACTTCAAATATAAAACACGTGTTGAATTTTTACAAAACTGTCAATAAATGGGAATGAGGAACCACATGCCAAAGAAAAATTTAAAAAACGACAGAACAAAACGACAGCAGATGGTAACCCTAGAGCATACATAGACTTTAATTTAAGCATAAAATCGAATAGAAACTACAGGGAGATTCATTCAACTTAAAACCACAAGCAGTTGACGACTAACTGTACCTGTGGCAACTGTACCTACAAATGGCGACATTAAAATTATAAGGACGAGATGAAATCGATAGCCAGTTCGTCTGGCTTTGCTTCAAGCTGTACTTTCCAGGAGCAAACTGAATGCATTTGAGTGGCTCCACTGTGCATAGAAGAAGAAAAGCATGTGAAACTATTTACTAAACTCTATCATATCATCAGGGGACATAAGATCAGGCGAGACATTGCGCGTATTATCTAGATTAAACTGTACCTGTCATATTCCACTCTATCATATTGTAGCCATACGTCAACTGTACTTACTACATGTATATATGTATGTATATAACATATGCATATGTATATTTCGGAAACCCTATAATAATGATATAGTATTAGTGTATATTGGGCTCAATTGCAATGTTGTAAATGTTATCCGTAGCAGCGTTTGTTAGCCATTTGACCTATTTAAGAGCTAAAGCTAATTGTAATTTCGATAATCTTAAGCATGCCGCGGCGCTTGCCACAACTGTCAAGAATTTCACCCTACGGGGAACTATTCCAGCGCCTAGGCAAACACTTTGCTTTTATAATTTATGTTTATGCAATGATGAGCTCCTTGAGCACTATTTCGTACATGTAAGATAACATGATAAAAAACTTAAATATATGTATGTGTGTATAAATGGCAAAGATGTTAATAAAAAATATATACCTATCTAAGAGATTCCTTGTTTCTAAATTCTCAAATGGAACTGTATTTTTATTTAAGTTAAGTGGCAAACCTTGTCAAATGAAGTTGGGGGCTGTTTTGGTTTTCTTTTGCGTCAAATGAAGATGCAATTGAGTACGATAATAAGTAAAGATGCCAAAATACCCTGTATTTAGTTTACTTAGTGCCAGCTAACATATTAAACAGAAGACAGAAGAAGATCGCAGAAGAGAGTTAAATTGAAAGACTAGAATTAGTAGCAATGAATAGACTAGAATTAGTAGCAATGAATAATAGTTAAGGTTTATTGAATTGAAGGACAAACGCTGCAATAAAATTTATTAAAAAAAAAAAAAAAAAAAAAAAATAGTTTGTGCCAGACAGAATTTTCAATGTATTAATACATTTAAATATATATTTAAGCTGCAATTTAAGTTTTTGTGCAATATGCAATATTATTAGCTGACATTCAAAATTCTCTTTGAGCAATTCGAGTGATTTGTTAAACTTCCAACAGCGACGCACTGCTCACTGTCGTTTATCGTTCACAGCATGAACTTTACTCTGGTAGCTTCAAAGTGAAATAAACGCTGACTTGGCAGAGCCACATCATGTGTCACGCTCAAGGCACATCTAATCAAGATCTGCTATTGTTAGGTAGACTTAAGTGCTCTATGTCAAAGAGACACACGCGAGCCGCCCACATCTGACAGCTCTGTCTTTGTCGATTACTTTGCAGCTCGACAGCAAACAGTTTCCGCCCGCCGATGGCATTGCAGTCGTCTTTGATACTTTTGCTATTGTGCCTTGGCGCATCCTGCAGCAGGACGAAGCGAAATGTCTGTGCCCCCGTGCGTATACTGTGCGTGCGTGCCACGAAAATTGCATTATTGCCATGAACCTAATGCAATTCAAATGCTTTTATGATCGGAGAATCGAAAGTTTTCTCTTCAGCTTAACGCCATTAAATGGAAAGGCACTGTACCAAAAATTGGACACATTGATAGCTTCAGTAGCTGCGCGACGCACACGCTAAGTAAACACCACGAGGTGTTGCAGTAATGAACAACTTCTGTTGCATATCTCGTGGGGCGCTGAGCTGTTGACTAAGCGCTAAAGCGACGCGACGCGACGCGACGCCAGCCACAAAGTGCACGACAAAATGGCGTCAGTCGGCGAAAACAACACGAAGAAGAAGATGAAGACGACGAAGCAGAAGAAGAGGACTCTTCGAGACAATTATATTGTACGGGCAGCAGCAGTTTACAAAAAAGCCAGACGAAAGAGAGAACAAGGCAAAGTGAAAAGTAGACATGTGTCAATGTGTGTGTGTGTTTGTGTGTGTGTGTGAAGCAAATGTGTAGAAGCGTGAAATTGATTGCCCCGCTGGCATTCGCTCAGACCCTCGTCCCCCTCGTCCTCAGTCGCCATGCAGTTGCTTTGCCTTGGCCTTGGCTAATGGCGGCGCTGGGAATTACATTTTCAGCACTTGGCAACACCTTCGAATCGGCGAGCTTCTTTCGAAATTGAACAGCTCGGCATTTGCATTTGCAAACAATGCCGCATAAATATAAACACAATACGCAGAGCGCAAATCACAGAGGAAACAAGCGCTGATCGCTCAATTGTTAACACATGCACATTTTCATAAGAAAAACCTCATTACCTGCCGGATTTGGCTTATTTATTATGTGACACACTCGCACACAAACACACACAGACGCACACACATTTGTGCAGGGAATTGCCTTTCAACACTTTGACGCTTCATTAGCTTTGTGTCGGGCGGGCAAAGCGTGAATAAAATACAAATGCCATTCGCGATGGCATTTCGCTCACATTCGATTTGCCATTTATTTCCCAATTGATTTCTTTAGGCATATACCATAATACAGTATCATAATATGGCAGATAGCATTGCCTAAAATTAAAGTGAGCAAATGAGTCTTACAATTCATCTACAATTATTACTTAAAAATTAATAATACATTTATACATTATAAATTATAGTTTATTATATATTTATACTTTTACTTCGAGCTAAAGATTCTCATTTTAAATTTTAAATTGAATGCAATACACCTTGTATTCAATTTCATGTATTTTTATTTAAAGGCGTTGAAATGTATTTCTTATCAGAAACTGATAAAGGAAAGAAAAGTCTTGTTGCCCTACTCTAACATAAGCGCTGATTGAGCTGGATTAGAGTGTGGGTTCTGTTTGCTTTCCTCATGAAAAGCCAACCCACGTTTAATGTGTTGAGATGTGATATTATGTATTGTGACGGAATGGAATGGCATGGATTGGGATGGTCAACCGCTGGCAATTGTTGTTGATTTAATTTTTGTTGTCTTTTCTCGCACTGCGCGTGTTTGCTGACACCGCAAATGTGGCTGGCTCAACTGCAGTCATGCATGTAATTGATTAAAGCAGCTGTCGAAGCTGTTGACCTTCATTTCAGCAATTAGCCATGGGTGGCTCTATAAAGGCAAATGTGATATTTTGTGCTCAAGTCTAACGCAATAAGTACAGCTTCAGGGAGATTAAGGCCACAGGCTCTTGATTACTGCTCAAGCATTTCGCGTGTAATCCGCAGAACACAAAATGGACTCGAAATTTGCCTAAAGCTTTGCCTTTTTCACCTGCTAACGGAGTGGCTGTCGCTTTTTAGGCCACAAGCCATTTTTGCTGTGCAGATTAGGCAAATTGGTTTCTCTGTTGCTTTCCCACACAACTTGGCACCTGATGGCCAACTTACACGCTCCTAAGCCAGCAGGTATTACGACATTCGCCGGGCTGATAAGTTGAAGTCTTGACATCCTGGCGAAAGCCGAGCATCCTAAGCATTTGCAAATATGAAAATCCCATCGAATGCTTGGCCTGAAACAAATGCATTTAATAAATTCATATAAAGGAAAGAATATAATATTTCAAAGCAACAATTTTGTACATTTTTTTAAAATAATACATAATAATCATCAGATCATATTATAAATTTTAAAAAAAAATATTTAGATATATATTTTTGTTTATTTAGTATTTATATAGTATTTCTTTTACTTTATATCCGACTATTATATAGTTGTCTTAATTATTTTCAAGTTTCTTAAAAAAATAAATAAATAAATAAAATTTAAAAAAAAACACACACACACAATTTGTAGTTTTTCTCTTGTTTCTAATTAATTGAATAACATTGTTAGCAGCGCTCTCGGTAGAGCATTAGGGGAGCTCAGCCTAATGTCGTTTTCATTTTTCTTTCTTGGCAACATCATTAGCAACATTGTTGGCTGTTGGCGGTCCTTTTTGGAAGGTGCCCAAAAGGTGTGCCCATAAATTGAATTCCGTAATTATGGAACAACGTGTCGGCCGGCAACATTTACTAATTGCTCATAAATTGTTGAATTGTTTAATGCTTGAAGCAGCTGACTGACCGGAAAAAGGGGTTAATGAGGAGCGTCCCATGTGGGCGATAACTTCCGCTCGAGCACGCATTGTGGAGCGTATTCCGTGCCATTCTCAGCAATTAGGAGGCGCAACAAATGGTCATTTGGTGTTAATTAGCCGGCTGGGGGTCTCGTGGATGCTGCGGCTGCTGATGATTAGTTACAGCCACGGCTTATTGATGTCAGTTAATCGCATTGAGCAGCAGCAGCAGCAGCCCAACTATCCATCCATTGCCGCTGATGGTTGCCGAAACATGTTTCGCTACTTAGTGGCCGACAGGGTGATTGAGCGAGTGGTGCAGCTTAATGAATTGGCACCTGACAGCCACAATGTTGCCACAACTATCCGAGTCAGATGCTTCAGGCAGCGAACGCACACGGATGGAATTTAATTAAAACGACAAAACCCCATTTGCTGCGGCAGCCCTGCTCAAACAAATCTGTGTCAACACCTTGTTAGCTTCGACTCATTCCGCACAGAATCTTGCTTTACGCTCTCCCGGTGCCTGCCACCTGGGCAATCAATCACAGAAATTAAAAATAATCGCTTAGCAGATAGAACTAGAATCCTGAAAAGCAAAGGAGAAAACGCTAAAAGAAAATCAACCTGAGTGGCAAAGATGTTGTAGTAGCTAGAGCCATGCCCTACAGCAGTTTAAAGAGAATATTTAGTAGAACAAGGATTTACATTTAAAACTATATTTTTGTATATTTTAAAGTTTGATGCACAAAAGTTGTTATATTTAAATTAATAGCATTATTTTCTCCTTTTGTCCCTTAAATCAATATTTATTCCAAATTTAATATAGAGCATCAAATAAAAAAATAAAAATAAAAAAAAATTTTGTTACACTAAAACAAAAGTACATTTCATATTCTTTTTATATTAAAGTTGATGCGAAACTAATCATCTGTATTCTAAAAATATATTATTCATAGTAATATATTTAACTTTATTTTATAGTAATTTATTTCATACACCTTTACCTAACTGATGCGACCTTCAATACGAACAAATATACCCACTCACAGCACAGAGTAGAGCAAGCCACGAAAAGGGAAAAGCATCGACAGCAAATAAATACATTTATCTTCCAACGCCATGAGGGATGGCCAGAACAGAGTTTGGATTACTTTTTTTTTTTTGCCCATTTTATTTGCTCGCACGCTGACCAAACACAAGTAAACGGAGTCGCCCAAAAGTTAATTTCCGGCACTTGGCCAGAAGGCTTATTTAGTCTGGAATAAGGCGATGGTGCTGAACAAATATCACAGAAAAATATAGGCAATATAGGATTTAGTTTAAACAAGGAGTCAATTGTATTTAGCTGCACATTATACAAACATTTCGATTGTAATTATGCAAACAGAGACATTTACTTATACGATATGCTATTTACAGAGTACCTCCTTAGCTAGAGAGCCAGAGAGCATAAGTACACCATTTCGTGCGGTGAGAATTGTTGTATGTGACGCTTACAGCTAATTAGTATTATAGACACAACTTAAGAATTAGTAAAAACTGCCTTGCGGTGGTAATTCTTCTTGATCGTCGTGCTTTGCGCTCTACTTAAGCAAAAAGTCCATTTCTGATTTTGTGGTTGACATGTACTGATCCAGCTCTTTGTCCAGATCCTCGCGCTTCACCTCGGACCGCTGCGGCTTACCTATGTTGAAAATAACCAAAGGAAAAACAGCTTAGATTAATTATAGCACTTTTTAAAGCGGAAGTAGAGAAAATTCCATGTTAGGTCGCTATGCGCTCCCGTCCAGCCTGATGTCCGTGCAGTGAGCCATGCTTGTAACGCTTTTACCTGCAACCGTGCGACCACCACGACCACGACTACGTCCGCGACGACCCGGCTGTTGCTGGTTTGCCTTGCCACCTTCTGTGCTCTTGTTGGCCTTGTTCTTCTTGTTACCATTTTTATTGACACCCTTGGCAATTTTGCCACCTGCGCGCTGTGAGCTGCGTCCACGGCGCCGAGCGCCAGCAGCGCCCGCACCTTTTTGTCGTCCATTTGATGGAGCAGCAGTGCCAGCAGCAGCATTACCCTGTCGTGCCCGAGATCTTGAGCGTGAGCGCGAGCGATGCGTGGCAGCAGTAGCAGCATTAACAGCAGTGGCAGCGGCACGTAGAGCAGATCTGCAAAACAAATTCAACATTAATAAGGAGTACACAATAAATGGAAGCTTTGTAACTTACTTTCCCCGTGCACGTCCTTTGCGTCCGCGCCCAGTGGCTGCAGCCGCCACAGTCTTCTGTGCAGCGTTCGAATTGCGACGCTTCTCAATGCGTCCGGCAGCGACGCCCCGCAATTTGCTGTCAGCCCGACGATTGCCACGTCGTTTGCTGCCTGCTCCTTTTCCTCCAGCTGCTGCTGCCCCGCCCGCACGCACGCCCAGGCGCTGCTTCACTGAAACACGAGCCGGAGCACGTCCGCCGCCACCGCCACCGCCAGCACCTCTGCCACCGTTAGCCGGTTGCTGACCGCGGCGTCCGCGACTCTGAGAACGGCTGACACTTTGGGAACGAGCCCGGCTCTGATCGCGCCCGCGACTCTGCGAACGAGCGCGTCCACGACTGCGTGAACGGCCACGCTGCTGCGGCTGTTGTCGCGCCAAAGCGCGTCGACGTTGAGCCACACGCTCCGCTGCACCACCGACAGTGGGTCGGCTTAGGCCCAGGCGCTGGCGGAGTCCTCCAGCCGCGGAGCTGGATCGTCGGGCACTAATGCTGCTGCTGCGGCGTGCGCGTCCATTGTTGGCAATCAGATCTGCGCGCATGCTATTTATAGTGATTGAAGTTGTAGAGGCGGAATAAGCAGAAAGTAGATGTGTTTTACAATGTTGTTGTTGTAGTAGTTGTTGTTGTAGCACTTGGCGCTTTCATTCAAAAGCTGCTCGCAAGCAATCTTCCGTCTTGACTGAGTCAAGAGCAGCTACAAGTGTGTTTGGATTTTTAGTTGGGGATGCTTACGTTGCCAGGCGAGTGCCGTTGCTGGTGCGCACGGGTCTTCCGATGGGCCCCTGACGGAGCGCTTTGATGCCGCCAGCAGTTGTCCGCAGGCTTCTCTGTAAGATGCATAAGGTTTGTGATGGGTTGTTTTTGTTTTTGCGTTTAACAAACTGAATGCGACTTGACGCTGCTCAAGCGGTTGCGGTTCAGTGTGTGTGAATTCAATAGATGTCTACTACAAGTGGATTTATTTATATTGAAGACTACTTCTGGGTTAACCTTGCCTGCTCTGGGCAGGGCCTGGCTGAACCGGACTTGGCTGGTCAGTATAACGGGCGCGCGCTAGCTGTGAAATCTGCCTGAATGCGGCATGTGCTCTATGGAGCAATGTGCCCATATCCTCTGCTGGCGCTCATCTGCTCATTTGCTGCTCTCTGCCATTTGTGCCCTTGCCCAGCCAATGAGAACGTCACGGATTATACTCAATCGCTTGCGTTTGTCAATTGTTCAGTCAGCTCCTCAATCCCAGAGTACTTATCGTGGTTGGTTGTTGTATTGCTTGTCTTTTGTTTAGTTTTTTTTGTTTTGTTTTGGACACATACGCGCTTCAGTTTGAGGGCCGCCTGAACGGTGTGCTTCCGTTTAAACTCCTGCAGCAGCCGCGAATTGGCCGCCGATGCTGCTGCATCCACAATCCGGCGACTGCGACTCCGTGAGCGACTACGACTTCCGCGTTCCCGTTGCCCGCCAACCGACGGCTGTCGCTGGCGAGATTGTATTTGAGTGAAGCGCTCATTCAGCGATATTCCAGTCTGCACCATTTTTAGACTGTATTTGACTTTCACAAGTGATTCTCTTTACTTGGGTGTTCCTTTTATTTTCCGTTCTCCGTTTGCCTTAGACTTTGGTCACAATTAAATTGTGTGTGTGCGTAGGTTGAACCTTTGTTCGCAACTGTAAGGAAAGACACAAAAACGATTCAGTTTTATACGCCTCAAACTGCATTTCAGGTAATCAAATCAAGTGCAGACAGGTAGACGAATTGCAGCTGCTGGAAAATGGTGACACCATAAAGGCTAGGACTAACAACCCTTAAAGATCAAAATAAGCTGCACAGCTGTCAAATGTAAATTCGTGCAATAAAATCGTTTGCTAATTTCCCTGCAGATGTTCAAGCATAGATAACTAACATGTCTATATTGCATATAATGTGCATCAATATATTCGAATCATTTTAGAGATCCTAATCTGGGATTTTCCAGACAAGATTTTATGCAATAGAGGAACAGCCTCCACTCATCCTAATGTATCTGTATCTGCACTCATCTGCTATCGTTGCACAACACTGTTTTGCATCTATGTACAGCATACATGGTATGCATGTGTTTTGAGTATTATTCTGGACCTTTCATTTCATTCGCTACTCTTTCTTGCAGACACACGCACACCAATGTATATTTAGAAATGAGTTCACGTATATGCAATGGTTGAGTGTATTCTAATTATACACACAGTTGCCACAACTACAAAAACAAGAAAAGAATATGAGTCAATACTTCTTGGATACACACATGGATTTTCCACATTCCTGATGCTTTTTATAAACTAAATACTTAAATTCATATTTTACGATTTACTTACATTTAAGTTGTCCTTATGTTTGTTTTATTGCGTTGTTCGATGGCGATTGTGCGCTGAATCGATTTTAATATTTTTTCAAGTGTTTACGCATTTACTGATTGATATGGTTGCTTGATACATTTAGTTGCACGCTTTAAGTTACTTATCTGCTCTCTACAGTTTGTTTTTATGAGATTTTTGTAGCAAAACGACTACTTTTCTTACAGCTTCTGACAAAGAATGCAAAACGGGAAAGGTACAGCTTGTAGAGTTGTCTTGGAGGTTCAGAACTAGTTCACTGGTTCACACGAATTCTCCAACTTTTAGTTCCGAATTTCATAATTGTAAATTAATCGGAGTTCAGCTAGATTTTTTAAGGTAAAAATACAAAATGTTAGATTAAAATAATTTGTTATAATATTTAAATAATACTATAATATTCTAAATAATTCAGAATTCTGCTGCCCTGTTCATCATCATCAAACTGTCTGGCAACGCTACTCTACGGATATTATCCCTAGCAACGTGTGGTCACACTAATAGTTAAATATTTGTTATTGCAGTCTTATTTTCTTAAACAGTTGTTGGTCGTAATGGAGATGGTGCACGTATAATATTTGCACAGCCGGCACGAGTTACGGCTGTGCCATCAGGTCGCATAACAACACGTTCATTAAAAACTAAAACCGATATCTCGGCACGCGACTTTTTTATAATGTAAACAAACTTCCCGACACATACATTTAAACAAAACGCGCTGTAWTCATTATTTATTGTTGAGCTGCTGCTGCTGCCACTGCCGCTGCTGGTGCTCAGTTAATATTATGCGAAAACTCGTTTGGCGCGGTTATTGAACTTATGACACTTGACTTTGCCGGCTAGAATGCTAGCGGCGTGATTATTTCATATCGCCATTTGAACGTGTCAGCCAATTCGTGTTTGAACTTGAAGCATTGCAGAACGCAAAAAACGCCACATGCACGTTTACAAGATGGGGAATCGAACGCCCGAGCTAATTATATGGTTTGTTATCCAGCTAAAAATATATATGTATGCCTCTTAATGTGATTTGTTACGCTCTCAGCTCCTTCCTGGTAGCCAGCCTACTGGTAATACACTTCTTCACGGACCTGTTGCGCGCCTCGCTAGCGGGAAGCTATGCTCTGGATGTAACACTATCGCAGCTAATCGAGTCACAGTCTAGTGAATATGCATGGCTGTTGAAGTTGCTAGTTAACTGCTTCGGCTACAGCTGCGTCTTTGTGCCGGGCTATCTCATCTACAAGTATGTGCAGCGCACCAACTATCTCGAGCGGGGCAACAAAACGTTTCTGCACACGGCCATCAATATGTGCATTACGGGTAACTCCAACTATGAGTCTGTGGACGTTATTCATTTGGCCAGCAGCAGCAGCAGTGGAGCAGCCATGGAACGTGATCGTCCAAGTAAGCGCACCAGCTCGCAGGAGGCTGTGCAGCTGCTTTGGTGCTTTGGCGGTCTTATGGTCTCCTATTTAACGTGGGGTGTGCTGCAGGAGAAGATCATGACGCAGCACTATCAAAATTTCGCTGGAGAAAGTGCTAAGTTTAAGGATTCACAGTTTCTAGTCTTTGCCAACCGTATGTTGGCTTTCTTTGTGGCACTCGGCTATCTGCAATGGCAGCCGGCTACAACGCGGCATCGTGCTCCCCTCTACAAGTATTCGTACGCCTCGTTCTCAAATATCATGAGTGCTTGGTTCCAATATGAAGCTCTTAAATTTGTGAACTTCCCAACGCAGGTGTTGGCCAAGTCCTGCAAGATCATACCTGTAATGCTGATGGGAAAGATCATGTCCAAGGCCAAATACGAATCGTACGAGTATGTCACAGCGCTGCTCATCTCACTGGGCATGATATTCTTTATGACTGGATCCGCGGACAGCAACAAGGCCAGTGGCGTAACCACATTGACGGGCATCTTTCTGCTCTCCATGTATATGATTTTCGACAGCTTCACGGCCAATTGGCAGGGCTCGCTCTTCAAGAGCTATGGAATGACCTCAATCCAAATGATGTGCGGCGTCAATTTGTTCTCCACCATTTTTACCGGTGCCTCGCTCTCCATGCAGGGCGGCTTCATGGACTCACTGGCATTTGCCACAGAGGTGAGTGGCCTTAATTCAAATTCTTTTTATTAACTTATATACTTATTTTAAAGACTAAATCAGAAAGGCCCTTAAGGGCAATAGATAATGTTTATTTATATATTTTTGTACTTTTTAATTTGTTTATTAAAATTGCCCATACACATCATTTATTCTTAAATTTCTAACAGCTAACCAATTTAATTGTTTAACTTATAGCATCCCAAGTTTGTCTTCGACATGGTTATTCTATCCATATGCTCTGCTGTTGGCCAATTGTTTATCTACCACACAATTGATGTATTCGGGCCAGTTGTGTTTACAATTATCATGACAGTGCGCCAGGTAAGTGCTTCACTCACACACACACACACACCGCTGTATACTCATCTGTTATTTATTTGTGCTCTTCGGTAGGCCGTCGCCATCATGCTTTCGTGTTTCATCTATCAGCATAGCATTACGATGCTGGGCATCTTTGGAGTGCTCATCGTGTTCGCTGCCATCTTCTTGCGCGTCTATTGCAATCAGCAACTGCGAGCTAAACGCAAGCGCGCCGAAGCCAATAAACCAAAAACAGCCGTTTAATTGTTGCCACACACTTGGCTTAAACGCACAAAATCTGCTAAGCTAAGATCTATTTTTGAATCGGAGGCTTATCCAAACTTAGCTTGTAAAATAATCTATCAAACGGAATCTATCAATTGTACATTAATGTTTTGTAGTTCTAAGTTAGAAAGAAAATGTCTTGAGAGAGCCGTAGGTCAAGCAAATATTGTATGAATACTAAAAACTGTATAATTTACTACACATTCATTGTACGCATAAACGCAAAATTTTGACTCGACACAAGAATGATAAATACGTATGTATATATATATTTGTACAAAGTGCGTGCGAAAGTATGCTTATCTATAGATTGACTACATTTTGAAAGATTTAACTAGATCGCATTCATATCTGTTATAATATAAGGCAGCTAAGCTTCTATTGAACTGTAAATGAGTATTGTGAAGTCGGTTACATCCGACCAAATTCTATATGCACTTGCTTTTGTATAAAATATGTTTACATATATGTATGTATGTGCTTCCCAAACTGCAATATGTATTAAAATGACATGCAATGAAACTAATTTTTTGCTCTATATATTTTAGCTTGTTTAGTTATATATATATTTGCTATTTTGCTAGTGAGAGTAATGAAGCATCGAGGGTGTGTGTTAAATTTCCCGCAAAAAAAACAATTGCTTGTTGAAACTTTGGCTATTACAGCTGATCTTTCTCTGCAGCTGTTGGCGCTTCTCGCATCGGCGAGAAATATAATGAGCGAAGGTGGTTCCCAGCACTCACTCGCTCGCTCATCGTGACATTGACCCACTTGTGGTATATGTTATTTTTGGCAACATATTAGATTCATCAACAAGTTAGAGCTCCTATGGGTGGCTGCTTGCTCGGTTGCTTTTTGCCACAGGTCAATGCACAAGAGTCGCGACGCTTGTAACTTGTTTTCTAAACCATGTGGGCGAAACGATGTTATTCATGATGATGATGATGATGATGATGATGATGACGATGACGATGACGTTGCCCGCTGGTTGGGCTTGCGGAGGTGGTTCAAATTAGCATTTGTATCAAAAAATACACAATGCGAATGCGCTGGAAAAATTCAAGCCAATAAAAAAGGGAATTATGCAATCGTCTGCCTTCTAAGGGAAAACAGCAAATTTGCCAGTTGTTGGCAATTTTCGTTGCTTTTTTTTTTCTTTTTCGACTTTTTGCTCACCTGCACAGGTGATAAATTAGGGCGTGCTCAACGCTGGCGGCATAGTTCGCTGCCAGCACGCCACAGACATAGAAGCATCGCATAGTGAACAACGCGAATAGATTCCTTCGAAATGCAGATCATCTATCTGTTACTATTTTGTGCCTTTAGCTATTGTGCAGCCGCACAACGTCGCTATTACTACAACTATCCACAGTGGCGAGCACCACCGTCGGTCTACAACCAGAATCCACAGGGCACACGCCATAGTCGCCAGAGCTCCAGCACCAGCAATAACAACAACAACAACAAGAGCGAATTAGGCTCGGTGAATCCCAAATTTGCGGGCGCCGGAAATCAAGAGCTGGACGAGCTGAGCTCCGACGTGGGCAACGACCGATCTCTGCTGTTAAAGAAGAAACTGAAGAGGCTGTATCGACCCTATGCAGCAGCTGCTGCTGCTTCCTATGGCTACGGCTCCTATGGCTATGGCTCCTATGGCAGGCCCTGCACACCTTTCGGGCGGGACGCAGCCGGCCAAAAGGATCCCGCCGAACAGGGACGTTTCCTGTTCGACTTAAATGTGTACAATGTGTACCCAGGCGCTGGTGGCTGTCGTGGCTACGGTGGCGGCTTGGGTGGACTGGGTGGCGGCTTGCTGTCGGATCCTGTGCCTCCACCGCCGGTGCCGGTGCCAGTGCCAGTGCCAGTGCGTCCCTATGCGCCATTGGCCACCTGGCTATCACTTTTCGCACCTGGCATTCTGCAAAACAGCTTGGCAGCCACGGTGCCTGGAGTGCCCTACGCAGATCAGCTGCCAGTGCGGCCCGCCTCTGCCTCAAACGACCCGCAAAGCGATCCCGCCGTGGACCCCAACTATAATCCAGTTCCCGTGCGTCGCCCGGTTCCCAATCGCGTCTACTTTGACTCTGCAGGCGCGGTAAGTCCAGCGAGATCTTTCTATTTGAACTTGACCTCAATTGTGGATATTTTTGTTTACAGCCACCAGTGACGCCGGGTCAGCTAGTGGGCGGCGTCTCTACGACCATCAATGGAATAATTCAACAGCTAACGGGCCAAGTTCAGCCGGTCTACCAAACAGGCGTCTATCGTGCGAGAAGCGATCGCAGTAGCTATGGATAGACCGAATTTCGAATTTTGCAAGCGATTAGTATTTTAATTAGGTTTTATGTTAAGCTTTGATTAAGTGGAAATAAATGACGAAATTTGAGCAAAATATATATTAAAGCCTTTTTTGGCGAAAGTCATTTGGTGTTTTTATATGTATATGTATATATATTAAATTTATATTACATTTTTAAACAATTTTAAAGCACTGCAGATATATATTTGTATTTGTCTCAAACTGTTGCTCTTCGTATCATTGACTTCACTGCTTAGCTTTACAAAATATAGATAGAACATATGGGAGTAACTTCCTCAAGATCAAACACTCTCACACACGCTCTCAACTATATATACTTATAAGAAGTAGAGTTATCATATTAAACGTATCATAAGTAGAGAAGAGCTGAACTAAGAGTCTACAAAAAACTCTCATATACTTTCACTCCAATTGAGTTACAAGAGTTTCCTGTTTAATATATGTGGGTTGTATGGTTAGTGCTCAAACTAATGAATATAATTAGGGGACGGGAGGTCTTGAAGAAGAAAATAATAAGTGTTATATTCACTTATTTCTGTTTAGAGCAATTATAAATCACAATAAATAAGATCTGGGGGCAAGCTAAACAAAAATGTCTCCGACAAATTAGAGCTTGCTTTGTATAATTATATATGAGTAAACAGATTAAAAAAGCAACTCGAAATGAATAGAGATAATATGAGATACATACATATGTACATATGAGTATATGTATACAGATCTATATAAATATATACAACAGCCTGATAATTATTCGTATGATACAAAAACTATCCCTGTTTCTTTCCAAATAAAAATAAAAGACTATCATTCGGCTTGTTTAGAATACACGATGCCATAAATTGTGTTTATGCTGCGCCACTATGGCTATAGAGCGGTAAGTGCGATGAATAATTGTATGGTCGGTTCGTTCGTTCGTTCTCTGGCTTTAGATCTTAGTCATGCACGTGCTATATAATTCTCCCATCTTAGGTCATAAATTTATGCACGTCGCGTTTATCCCATTAAAAGAGCAACAAGAAGACGATAAAAATAATAATAACAACAACAACAGCTGCAATTGCGAGGACAAGGACAACGTATCCACTGCGAGAAGAGAAACCGGATTTAGTCGGGGACTTTTCAGGGCTCACATGCTTTGTATTTCTTTTGTACTTTACAAACTGGACTTTTCAGCGGTACACGAATAGTAAAAGCTAATTAAAGCTAAGCTTAGATCATATATTACTACGACTATCAACCAAAGAAGCCGCCGCCATAGCCGCCATTATGGTAATTATTGGAATACTGTGACTGCGACTGGCTGTAGTGGCCGCCATATGAGCCTCCGAAATTGTTGTAGGCTCCGCCGCCTGGATAGTAGCCACCACCGCCGCCATAATAAGGCTTGTGTCCAAATCCACTGTAGCCGCCGCCTGGGTAGTAGCCACCGCCATGTCCACCGCCGTATCCACCGCCGAATCCACTGCCGCCATGATGATATCCGCCGCCGGGATAGTAGCCACCGCCGAACGAGCCGGGATGGAAGCCACCGCCGCCAAAGCCGCTATAGAGGCCCGTATTTAAGCCCACGCCTGCACTTAGTCCCACGCTGGCGCCCAAGCCGCCGCCGAGTAGTCCAAATGAGCGTCCCTCCCCTTTGATGGGAGCCGGCGCAGCCGCTCCATAGCCGACAACGGCTAATGCCATCAACAGCTATAAGAGAACATCCGATGAGCAACTTGAAGATCGTTAAATAGACCCACCAATACGTACACAACACAAGCGCGCCATTCCGAGTGTGAGAGAATTATGAGTTGATGTGTCGCCCCGCTCGAATCGGTAACGAAACTAAATTGCAATTGTGAAGTGCTTCGCATTTATATAGCCTGCTCTGCTTGTATGCCCAATGATCGGCCACAAGAAGCAGACGACGACGCGTTACGCATTGCCAAGTAATTCTACGCGAATTGCAGAACAAACAGAACCAGTTAGTGACGAAATCGTGGAATACCCCCTCGGTAGACAATGATTACTTAGCCAGCAAGCAGCAGAATGCGTTAATTTTCGACTGTCAAAACACACACATGCATACGTATATATGCACTAATACACACACCATTTCTTGAGGGTTAAGGCAATTGTCGACCGCAGCCATAGAAGATCAAGATCACAAAAAACCCAATAAAAATAATCAGCCATCTGAGTTTACAACAACGAAGCCCGAATACTCTCTTGCAGTCGAATTACAAGAAAATCAAATGAAATTAAAAGTATTTTTCATAAATATTTATTGTTTAGTCACAAATTTAAATAATAATAAGTAAAAATATGAACTTTTTTTTTAATATATCATATATTATAATATATCTGAAACTAAATACAGCCAACACCGTGGAACAGCTTAAATACTTTCAGTTAGAGCAAAATGACAATCAAATAACAAAAGACTTAGGCAACAAACTTTACACAGAACGTGCAGCGAAGCATGGGCGCAGTTGTCGGAAATCTTTTCGGCATCATTTCGCTCATTAGCACTAGACACAAAAATATATATGTATGTATGTAAATGTGGTTTGTATTTCGTTTGTGATGCTCCAACAACAACGCATTGTCTCTGATTTGCGTACATATCTATATGTTAGCATCGTACTATATTTGATACACCTTCACTTTCGTCGGCAGTTTATTCAACCCAGGCGGGTGATTACTCAGCGAACGTCAGAGAAGTTACCAAAAGTAGCTAAATTACCATGAGGAAGTTATTTTCAAGTAGGAATAGCAATTTTAATTGAATTTATTTTAAAGTGTTGCGAGCAGTTGCGATTGCAAAAATACTTGATATAAATATTTGTGTTAGCTATGCACCTGGTTGACGTTCTAAAGGATTAGCTATTCGATTTGAATTTCAATTTTAGCTTAACACATTTACTTCCAATGAAAGTGAAGTCCCACAATATTCTTTTTAAAAATAAAAAAATAAATAAATAAG